CTGTTTTAAATATTGATAATAATATTAAAAAATGTTTATCAGCATATTAGAATGATTTTGAAGGATTATGTGACACTGAAGACTGGAGTGATGATGCTGAAAATTCAGCTTTGATCACAGGAATAAAAATGACATTTTATCATATATTCAAATAGAACGCAGGTATTTTAAGTAGTAAAATATCGCAATATTACTGCTTTTGCAGTATTTTGGATCAAATAAATGCAGGCTTGGTGAGCAGAAGAGACTTTAAAAACATAAAAAATCTTACTGTTCAAACATTTTTGACTGGTAGTGTACTTGCCAATTTTTGCTTTTCAGTATGTGTATGTTTTTCCAGGATACAAAGTCCCCAGGGGACTGTGGTGATGCCCTTTTTTAAAGCTAGTGCATCTGAGAGGTCAAGATTTGTAATTTGTACTTTTAAAAAGAAAATGTTCAACAATTAAAAATAATATTATCAGAACTAAAGCTCATGAGTTATTGTGGGGGGGGGCTGGGTATGGTAAAAATCATGGTTTACAGTGCAGTACCACAACTGGATTGTTTTTTTACAGGTACATTTTTTTTAACTAAATTAAAATAAACTCTACAGTACTGATACTGTAAATGAAAATACGGCAATAATACTGTAAATAAAATACAGTAAAGCCATTATTGTACTGTAAATGCAATTACAGTACTGATACTGTAAATGAAAATACGGTAATAATACTGTAAATAAAATACAGTAAAGCCATTATTGTACTGTAAATGCAATTACAGTACTGATACTGTAAATGAAAATACGGTAATAATACTGTAAATAAAATACAGTAAAGCCATTATTGTACTGTAAATGCAATTACAGTACTGATACTGTAAATGAAAATACGGTAATAATACTGTAAATAAAATACAGTAAAGCCATTATTGTACTGTAAATGCAATTACAGTACTGATACTGTAAATGAAAATACGGTAATAATACTGTAAATAAAATACAGTAAAGCCATTATTGTACTGTAAATGCAATTACAGTACTGATACTGTAAATGAAAATACGGTAATAATACTGTAAATAAAATACAGTAAAGCCATTATTGTACTGTAAATGCAATTACAGTACTGATACTGTAAATGAAAATACGGTAATAATACTGTAAATAAAATACAGTAAAGCCATTATTGTACTGTAAATGCAATTACAGTACTGATACTGTAAATGAAAATACGGTAATAATACTGTAAATAAAATACAGTAAAGCCATTATTGTACTGTAAATGCAATTACAGTACTGATACTGTAAATGAAAATACGGTAATAATACTGTAAATAAAATACAGTAAAGCCATTATTGTACTGTAAATGCAATTACAGTACTGATACTGTAAATGAAAATACGGTAATAATACTGTAAATAAAATACAGTAAAGCCATTATTGTACTGTAAATGCAATTACAGTACTGATACTGTAAATGAAAATACGGTAATAATACTGTAAATAAAATACAGTAAAGCCATTATTGTACTGTAAATGCAATTACAGTACTGATACTGTAAATGAAAATACGGTAATACTGTAATACTGTAAATAAAATACAGTAAAGATATTACTGTACTGTAAATGCAATTACAGTGCTAATACTGTAAAAAAAAATACAGAAAATTACTGGCATCCAGCTGCCAGTAATTTACTGTAATATTTACAGCAACCTATTTACAGTGTAGCTTCAGAGCTACCGTTACTATCTTCCACACCTTTATTGTTAACATCAGGCTGCTTGTCATTTCGCTCACAGATTGACAGGTGATGCTTACGTCCTAACTTAACGCAGGAAATTCCCTTTATCCTACAGAACTTTGCTATATTTTTAGGTTCCAATCAAGAAAAACATTTTCCCAATTATTTCAGCTTATCTTCTTAAGCAGACACTGAATATTCAGAGCAATTTTCAGGATTATGATTCAGATTTTCACAATATACACAAGCCTTGCGGTGTGCAGTGCAGCTGCAGAAGACATTTTCAGATTCAACGGTCTGGCTTTCTAAAAGTTGCAGTGCTTTTTCTAGCTATTTCCCTCTCCAAATTGTCCATGGGGCTTTAGTTTTTAATGCTTTGGTCAAGATCCACTAAACTTTCCTCCTTCGTCAATAACATTGAAAGCAACTCAGGCAACTTATCACAGTCTGGTTCTTCTTTACCATTCTCCTCTTCCAACTGAGTCAGCAGCTTCGTTGTCGAGTTGCAGATTATTCTTCTCTTCTTTTTCATCCACTCTGTTTGTCCATCTTTATTCAACTCACTTTCAATTCCAACTTCCATCTAACTCTGGGATTCTTATTCAACGCTATCCTTTGACCCTATCCTGGGCACCAAAAAATGTTAGTGAAAGTTCTAGGAATTGAGAAGCTTACACGGATGTCATATTTTTAGTTTGTTTACTTCAGAAAAAAAGAAAAACAGTGATGGGAGGACATGACAAGGCTAAATCAATAAAAGGTTATCAGCACACTTAGTATGTACTTCAAGTATGCAGGGATGGGATATATATATCTTTGCAGTATTTTAAGATAAACGCAAACATGAAATTAATAACGTGTTTTTCTCATTTTTTAGATTTAGCATCACATGTGCCAAAGTCCCTTTAAGGCAAGTAATTTCACTCGGCGGCCATTAAAAAAAATTAACTCAGCAGTCATCTTTGAAATACCTCTCAGGCATGACCAGTCCTAAGCGCACATCTGAAGAACGCTGAGTATTTCTATAGCAACCGGGACTTCTAATGGCAGCTGCAGTGATGTGATGACTTTGCAGATTAGCGATTGGCTCTTTTATTTAGAAGGCGGGGCTTCCTTCGATAGAATGGCCATATTGAGCGTTGCATTTTTCCCCATTCAAAACTATAAGAGTGACACATCTTGGTTATTCTATAGTCTTTGCATATGCTTCTATTCAGGAGAAATTACATAATTATTCAACAACAAAGTTACAACACAGCACTGGTCGTGTGATCGAGATTGATCAGTGAGTAAACACATGCTGCCGTTTAAGCCTAGCTGATATTTGGTCCGTGTGGCACCATTAACACGGTTTCATTGCGTTTTGGCAAATTAACATTATATCGAACATAATAGATATGTAATCGTAACAGATATGTAATAGATAATAGAATGTTTGCACCTACATCACGGTTTGCTCAGTTACCCGGATGCACCCGGACATATTGGAGATACTCGGATGTAAACAACAGCATTGATTGCACGGTCAATGTACTACTGAAGACGTTGTTCTACTAATTTATGATGTCTAAACCACAGAAAAAACATGTGTAAGCTGCTAAATCATATAGAGAAGACTTAGTAAGCAGAAAAGGGCACAATATTTTGACAAAATAAAGTTAATTGCTAAGAGGTAAAGATCTGTACAAGCTGGCTCCTTTGAATTCTAGAAAACAATAATAATAAATATAGCACCATTAACTAAACAGGCAGGTGTGCCCTAATGGTTAGAGAGTCAGACTTGTAACCCGCATGTCATGGGTTCGAGTCTCAGTACCGGCTGGAATTGTAGGTGGGGGAGTGAATGTACAGTGCTCTCTTTGCTCATTTTCAGCAGCAAAGATCAGCAAAATTCCGTTCGGTTCAGTGGCATTGTTTATGTCAAGGGCGTAGGTTTGCTTTTGACATTGGTGGGGAAAAGCAGAGCAGATTGTGTGTTGATTGTGTGGAAGATTGTGTGTTATGCATTTTTCAGCACAATGTTTGTCTTTCTGTCCGTATGATTTATATAGCGGGCTAATAATAGCCACAGATCACGCTTTCTTTTCCATTTGCTCAAACACTGTATTTCAAACTCGACGCAAGTGAACTTTTATTTTAGCCGTTTTGGACTGCTGTCTTGAACTGCGTGCAATAGGCTACCTGTGAGTTGTTCTAAATGAGATGCTGCGCTTCTCGTCTGGTGTGCGACTGCGTCCGCCCATGTATTAATTGTGCTTCCTTGAAAGTGCGCAGTTTTCTAACATATTTACTTTAACTTCTTAGGTAATATCAATGGTATGACATATTTCAGATGCATCCGAAATTACAAAAACATACATATATTTAATTGTTTGATAAAAATTATTGCTAGGGACAATTTGGTAATCGCTGGATATTGGTAGGGACATGTCCCTAACGTCCCCCCCTAATTCTACGAGTCCCGCATGGAGGGTCTTGATTAGCATATCCTTGCAGAAACGGCAATCAGACTCCCCCAGTGCGTTTCTGCATTCTGCCCAAGCACAGCATGCACACATCACGTGCGGCTGGGAGCTCAATGGGCCGTCACATAAGCGGCATTCCTTCTGCACAGTGTAAAAGTACTCAAAAATTATATTCAAAAGAAAGTAGATACTCAATGAACTTTTTACTGAATTAAAAGTAAAAGTATTTGGCCAAAAACATACTTAGTAAAACTTTAAACAGTACTTGAGTATTAAAAATGTTCAAGTACCCTAGCCAAAAAAAAAAATAACAACAATAAAAAGGAGATTCTTGTTTCGTCATGATGAAATATCTCAATGCAAAGTGAAATTGCTTAAAAATAAACGAAATAAATGTTTTGTCAAACAGACAGGTTTGGTTAAAACACAATGGCTGTAGGTCAATTAAATTAAAATGCAGCAAAGTGGAACACAAAAAATACAGCCCTTAGGGATACCCAATCCTTTACACCCTCATGCTATGCCATATGTGTCAGGAATATGGACCTGTTTTGTTGTGTTTTCCCTCCCCTTGTGCTCCGTGACCCAGTTTCTCCCGTGCTTGATTGTGTTCATGTCATCCAGGTATGTCTTGTAATTACACCCTCGTTACCTCATGTATCTTTGTCGGGTCTACAAACATCATGTTCGTGTGTTACAGCCATTCCTAGTGTGGA